GAAAGCCCTGTGTGTCACTGGGAGGAAGCAGGAGTTTCCAGGGTGAGCGGCTACCACGCCAGACACGCAGAATTAAGCCCAGTGCGCCCACGAATCGTGACCGTGGTGCGGCCGTGCGGACAGGAGAGCGTGCGGAAGATCTCGTTGCTGTTAAACCGCCGTGCTGTGCAGACTTTCGAGCAGCTAATGGCAGATGTGTCCGAGGCGCTTGGCTTCCCCTGCTGGAACAACGCTCGAATACGACGACTCTTTAGCCCTGCTGGGAAAGAAATCCACAGCCTAGCCGACTTCTTCCGCTTTGACCATGCCTTCCTGGCCTTTGGGAACAGCCGACCGTCTCTTGATGAGGTACATGCAGCACTAGATGAGTTATATCCGGAAAACCCTGGCCATTGCGAACATCTGCTGAGGGTATGGGAGCGTATCCTGAGACCCAAGGCTACTAAGGCAGACAGTGGTTTCCATGATGACGACACCGGAGCGGAGATTTCCTTACCTAAAGTACATGATCAACAGGTAAACCAACCAGTTGTCAACAACTTACAGCCTGTTGGAAGGCAAAAAGAAAAGGTGAAGAGAGAAAGGCAGAGAGAACTATGGAGGAGGAGAGGTGACCTGCAGAAAGAAGATGAGAAGAAGATAAAGAAGGAAGAAGGAACGAGAGAAGCTGTTTACTGCCGGAGTTGTCAAGGATGCGGCCCTCCTATACCTCCAATCAGAAGCAGTCGATGTTCTCAATCGGACAGGCCAAATAACCACAGTAATAAAAATACTTCATCTCAGAACAACATGGAAAAAACACAACAAAGATCACTGAAAGCAGCAGAGCATGTTGCCAATACAAAATCAAGCCCAACTGTTCCTCAAAACTGGGATAAAGATCTTAATTTGGTGACAATTACTGAGCAGGACATTAATAAGCAGGAAACAGCTGAGCAGAAAGACTTACAGAGTAGCATATTACCTGATGGTGCCGAAGTGTCGCTGGAGGACATTGAGCGCTGCTATGACATGGGCCGGGTGGTAGGAGACGGGAACTTTGCGGTGGTCAGGGAGTGCAGGGTGAGAGGCCTGGCTGAAATGTTCGCTATGAAGATTGTGGACAACGCAAAGCTGCAGGGACGTGGTAACATGATTCAGAATGAGATCGCTCTGCTGCGTAATCTGGAACATCCTCGCCTCATACAGCTGTTTCGTTCTCATCACACGGACACCCATGTTTACCTGCTGATGGAGCTGGTGACCGGTGGAGACTTGTTTGATGCTATCACTCAGAGCGGCAGGTTTACTGAGCCAAGTGCTGCATGCATGATCAGAGACATCAGTCAGGCTCTGGAATGCATCCACAGCAAGAGTATCGCACACCGAGACATCAAACCTGAAAACCTACTGGTAAGAGATAAGAGTTACTCAAAATCAATTATTTTTTTGGGGCATTTTTATCTTGATAGGACAATATAGCAGTGACAGGAAGCAAGTAGGAGAGAGAGAGGAGGGCGGGATCGGGAAAGGTCCACGAGCTGGGACTTGAACTCGGGACGCCCACAAGGCTATAAAATCAGTGTTATTTTAGTGTTATTTATATACTATTATAATATTTCATATTTTGAATTAGCTTTTTTTTATATTTTCTGTTTTGGTTTTTTAATTTGAGTAATGTGTTTGTCCGTTGTAATAATTTATTTATAAAAAAAATAGGTGTAGGTGTAGGAATTTTCTTTGAAACAATTTTCAGTCAGAAATTGCTATGATTTTACAGTTTGAAATTTTGAAATAGAAAGACTGAAATAGTTTTTTGTTTGTAAAACACTCCAATAACTCTAATAATTTTAGTACTTCATCATAAAATCAACTTTCAGTTAATTGCAACATTTCTCATTTTAGTTTTTAAGCTTACATTTTTCACCAGTTATTTAGATTTAATTTTATTTCAGCTTTATTTCAGTTACTGAAAATGATTTTTAATAGTTTTAGTTTTACCATTGCTTAACACTATAACACTGCTCAAACATTATTTCATGTTTAACTACCAATAGTTTTAACTAAATTTTAGGTACAGCGGCATGGCAATGGAAGTTTGAATCTGAAGTTGGCTGATTTTGGATTAGCCATGGTGGTAACAGAGCCAGTGTTCACAGTCTGTGGCACACCTACATATGTTGCTCCAGAGATACTTGCTGAGACAGGTAGGATCTGTACTCATTTAGAATAGCTGGGACTGGTTGGACACAGAAAACCTGAGCTACAGCTCTGTCCTAAACCTCAAACAAGTACTTTGAGGTTTAAAATGATTAGTAACATGATCTGACACACTAACATCTGACATGATATTTCAAATGTTCAGCTATGCATATGTACATGCCTATGTATGAACAGGTTACGGTGTTGGAGTAGACGTTTGGGCAATGGGTGTCATTCTGTTTGTGCTGCTGGGTGGGATTCCTCCATTCCGCAGTCCAGATCGTAATCAAGAGGAGCTATTCCGTCTCATCCAGAAAGGAGAAGTCCACTTTCTGTCCCCTTATTGGGATAATGTGTCTGAGGGTGAGATCTCTAACATTTGAAATAAAGAGATGCAAATAAAGAGATTTAAGGGCTAGTTCTTTCAAAAATGGAAAGTCTGTCATCATTTACTCAATCCCAAGGTATTTTTACACTCATATGACATTCTTTCTTCCAAGAAGCTCCATATAAAGTCATTACAATTTGTGTGCTATAAGAATTTTCATTTTTTGGTTGAACTATACCTTTTAACCCTTCATATCTACTATAATTTAGATGCTATAATCTAGAAATATTACAAGTGCTGATGTTTGTGTTTTGCGGGGGCTAAAGCTCTAGTCAGGGCTTTGCTGGAAGTCAATCCGAAAAGGCGTTTAACAGCTAGTCAAACACTACAGCACGACTGGCTTCAGCATGCAACAGCACAAAAAGACCATAAGGGGGCGATAAAAGCCACTGACTCTACGGCTGAGAGGCGCAACCAGCAGAAACTGAGCAGACAGGTGGAAAGTGGTGAAAATAAGAGTGATTCTCACAAAACAGAAATGTTGGCAGAGAAATATCATGCTGCACAAACTTACAAGAACATACTTAATAACTATGATTCAGATATTAATGCTCTTGACAGAGACCAGCAGATTCAAGAGATTCATGACACGACAAGCAACCAGCAAAATGCATCCCATGCAGAAGACACCACCACCACGAACAAGCAATATACCACAGATCAGCACAAACCTGAGAAACCAGCACAGCAAGAAGACATTGACACAAAACAAGAGTGACCTGCTGAGTAATGAGTTAAAGGGCAGTGAAGAAGCCAGCGTAAACAAGGGACTAGTAGAAACCAATTATATATGAAAAGACTAATAGAGTCTGGACAAAACAAGCTATGTGAAACATAAAGTGGAACATAAACATAACATAACAAGCATAATGTTTTGTAGTAAATAAACAAAGTGTAGTGTCTTCTCGTACTCTCAGACCTACACATATACTCCAGGCACTGATTCTGACTGAGAGTTCACTGTTTTTGACCTGATGACAAGGCTCAGATGAAATCTGCACTGATCTGTACATTTCTGCACTCATTTTGGAGGAAAATCTGCTGAATTAGTGTAAATATGGTTAAATGTATTAAAATGAGCTTATAGTGCACTCCTCCTGGTAGTTTAAGGTATAATCCAATATTTAAAAAACAAACTTGAATATCAGAATTCTGTATAATTTCTGTGTGCTTACAGGTCACTAATGAAATGATACGAGACATTAAAGTAACTATTATTACGAGATATTATTTACTGACTAGAAGCAGAAAAGCAATTTATGTTGTTTTGTTTTTGCATGTAAAAGCCTCTGATTATTCTGTATTTTCTTCTTAATTGGTGTTATTTAAAAAAAAAAAAAGACATTTCAATATGGAAGGACTAGTTTTGTTTTTAATATCAAAAACGTATCGGTCAATCTCTGCCTGTGCCAATGTTTGTGGGAAAGTTAGATGGGTAGACTAGCTAGTAATAAACTAAAAGTATTTAGTATTATTTGTTTCCCATGTCTCATTTCCTGTATTTATATTGCACATCTTCAAATCTGTTCAGTCTTTTTGTTCTGCAAATCAAAGGTATTTTTGAAACATTATGAGTATTGTGTAAATGTTTTAGACTGTAGGCTAACACAGTTAAACTTAATTAGCTGTTTGGTTACACGTTCCTATAATTTGGTGAGTAAAATAATGTTTTGTTTTTTGATGATTTATCTTCTGTTCACCTTTTAACACTTCAAATTTCTGAGATATCAAGTGGTTCAAAGGAGTAAAGCCTTTGTCCTTGTCAGGTGACTTCAGTCCTTCAACCTTCATGGTGGCATGTCTGAAAGCCCAAAGAAAGTGTAAAATGTGGTATTTCAAGTGTACTATAGAGTGGTATTGTAATGTGCATAAACACTTTATTAATATCAGCTTCATTACTAATTCCTTCTGTATTACATTGCTGTATGCATATTATTAATACATATTTTTTGTATGCCCCAAACTAGTCCCCCCCCGTTACAAATAAGTTAAAAGAGACTGCACTTTACATCTCGGATATGAAATGTAAAGTGCAGTCTCTACCTATGGCTCCAATTAAAATAACTTATTCAGGTCTTCCATATACTTTTCTGTCACGTACAATAATATAGATGAAGGACGCCCCACGATGACGTTGCCATTTTGTCGCATATGAGGGGTGTTCGAGATTTAGACCAGGCAGGGTATGAAAAGGTTTGGTCATCTTTTACTCTTACCTTAAACTACAATCACCATGACAATAATATTAAAAAACTAGCACAGTAAAATTTAAAACAAATCTACGAACACAACCAAGCGTCACACGATCCAAATCACAACAGTTTTTGGTCACCTTTTTCTTGAAAAAGCTTCAGCTATGACCCGCAGGAGGCCGGTGCGCATGCGCAACGCATTGCTCTTTAAATATCCCCAGTCATCTGATGAAGCACAACATTTGTTGTAGCCAATCAGGGAGCGCGAAAGAGAAGGGCAGCGCGGCCTTCATTACTAGGGGCAACGCATTCACTGACAGATCAATAACGGACGACAGAATTCGCCTGTTCTTCACCCCTCTCTGAGTAAACCGAGCTCGGATAGGCAGAATCAGAAAGGTCCAAACGGACAGGGGGAGAGGAGGAGACAGACAGGAAAAAAAACAAAGATGGCAGTGTAGATTAAGGGAAGGACTATCGAAGAGACTCTGCAGCAAACTGATAACTTTTAGGCTTTCGGGCGAATCCGGATCGTGTCGGAGTGGTTCGCTTGTGATCGGAAGGTGGACCGGAGGGGAAGAGCCCGGCCGGGTCGCGGAGAGTCGCTGTGCGCGTGCTGTCACAGCGGATAACGGCACTAAACAACAGCCTGTTGTTTTGTTGAGTCTTAGCTGTTTTTTCTCTCTCTTCACAAGCTGAGAGCTGAAGCTTACCTGAGATCTATCCAAAAATACAGGCATTCATGTACGCCAAACCGCAGTAAAACACAGATGAATTTATATTCACTGTCCCATAACTTAGTGTCATATTAACGTACCCAATATTTACCGCTTGATGTTTTACAACTGAGTGCATTGTTGGCTGTCCAGATCCCCCATCATTACAGGCCAAGTAGCTTGAAAACGCCTGGAAATCTCACCCTGACAATCAGCGGATCCTGTTGTTCAGCCAGCCCAAATATCCCGTGACTCATTCGGATGTCTTCGATGGAAGAGCGGATGGAATTAGGCGTCGCGGCCGCCCCGGGCTCCTCATCATCGGGTCTGGGTGTCGGTCCTGCGGGGGGCGCCCTGGATGCTGGCCCGGGGAGCGCAGGACTGGCAGGTATCCAGGAGGAGTCCGGCGTGCGGAGAGACGGTTCGGGTTCCGAGGCCGACCCGGACGCGCCGCCCAAGAAGCGCGTGAGGCAGCAGGAAGGAGAAGCGGGGAAGCTCGAGGAGCGCCTGTACTCGGTGCTGTGCTGCACGGTGTGTCTAGATCTGCCTAAAGCCTCGGTGTACCAGGTAAACAATGCCATTATGAGAAATCCTTATGCGTGATGTATATATCATAAACACAATGCAGATATAAAAGGTTCATAATATCACAGCATCCTCTTGGAATGCAACAGATAACAAGAGATATATACAGTCTGTTATTATAGATATGAGACAAAGGGGGGTTATAAATGCTTTTTTTGTGAATCTTTTTGTCATTGTGATTCTTTGTCTATTCCTAAACGATATAGCTGATTACACGCTGTCTGTGACTCATAATATGTGATGAAATGTCGAATAAAATGCTTGTTCTTACATTTGCCATTTCAGGTAACGTTACATGGTATTTTTTTAAGAGCTGGTATCAAGTTATTTTAGTAGGTTTCAGATGTTACACTCAGAAGTAATATTGGCCTGAGCAGCTGTTTTTTGCCTTCAAAGGCAAACATGACAATCAGGGTGGTCACGTGGCCTGTTTAACCCAATCACTGCTGGCTTCTCCTGATCACCCCTCCCCCAAATATGCACCCCATATAATCCCTTTGAAGCCACTGGCTAAACCAGCTGTAAAAGAACTTCCTCTCAAGCTTTCACACATTTTGTTGTGGTGTTTAGGTTTGCATGCCCTTGTTAACATTTTTACAAGTGTCCATTTATTAATCTAATGTGCTTGGTTAATTGAATAAATCCACAAACCAGTAGTCATTTATTTTGTTGGAGTATGTGTCAATGTGATGACTGCTGCACTGACAGGCCTATACTGAAACTAGAAAGGAAATATTAGACATACAAATAAAACAGAGTATGAGAACCACTGACATCTTCTCACATTAACCCCTAAAAGTAGCATGTGGTTCAGGGATGATGTGTCACACTGCATCAGCGCTATTAAGCTCATGCCATGTAATCCGTTTATTACTGAATCAGGGTTTGAATCCCATCAAATGAGGCGAACATGTGCGAGACCTGAAGCAAAACAAACACGCCAAGAAGAACTCAAATCAGCTGCTCACTGAATGAATCAAACACAGACGCCACACTGCAGTTTACCTCCTGTGATATAGATCAGCTGGTGAATTAATAAGCCAGTAGCAGCTTACTAACATTGTTCAAATTATACTTTGAATTAATCATGCAACTAGAGTAATCAGTGTAATTATAGTTATACTAAAACTAAATATATCAAAATAATTTCTAAAATAATTTTTTTTTTAGTTGAAGGTGAAATAAAATATCATTTTTATATGAAAATCTTTTGCTTTGTTGACTAACTAAAATAAAATAAGTACTAAAATGACTAAAACTAAAATGTAAATAAAGCTAAGTAGTAATATTTTTAAAAACAAAAACTAATAAATGGCAAAAGCACAAAGTAACTAAAACCTGAAAACTTACAATATAAAAAAGCTCATTCAAAATAAAATGTAAACAAAATAAAGAATAACACTTAGCATTCAGCTGTTTTTGACACTTGAAATTGAGTTGTGGCATAAAATGGATGAAGTATTGTCTTTGAATAGAGTTTTAAAAATTGCATGTATTTGTGAAATTACATTTGGTAACTCTTTATTTTACAGTGTCCTTGTTACATGTACTTACTATAACAATAAATTACATATAATTACATGCAGCTAACCCTAAACCAAACCCTAATCCTATAGTAAGTACAAGCTGTTAATTAATATTACTGAATACTAAATGTGTAATTACACCGTAACAAGGACACTTTACAATAAAGTGTAACTTGAAATTGCTTTGTTAGACACAAATTAGATAAAAGCAATTGACAAATTTTAGAATGAGTACATTTTTATACAAGGAATGAAAGGTTTTGAAACTGATTTTGTAATACCTATTTCTTACCCTAAAGAGGTCATTTTAAAATTATTATTCATAATTATTTATTCCCCATTAAGATCCACTTAAGCAACAGTGCTAAGCATTTTCTCTGTGCTGAAATGCTGTGCACATACTGTTAATTTCAGACTGAAACGAATTGGGTTCTTGTTAAAAATAAACTTTAGCTACTCTTTGCTAATCTTTGGGATTTTTACATAAGAATATGCAGAGTGGAAGGCACCACACACTGGGGGAACTGGGAGAACAGCCTTTATTTTATTAATTTTACTTCATTGTGATTATACTTAGTTGTGTTTAGGAATAATAACTTGTTACCTTATTACACCACAGTGACTGGGCACCCAGTAGGCTTCACTGATGTGTAAACGTGGACGTCTATGTGTTTACAATGTTTTCACATATATTTTCATAGCACATGATGCTTGTAAGTAAAATTTGATTCCTTGTGATATGATCTCTTTAAAGATGAACGTAATGCTGTCATTGCCACATTACATAGAGGTGGCTGTACAGATGCTTCAAAATTGAGGTTCCTTATTTCCCTTAAATTATTCAAGAAACTACTGCATTGTGTCAGACTTTTTGAGGAAAATTGGGAAATTCCATCATAACAACAACAGTACATTTATTAAAAACACTCCTTGAGAAGAAAACATACATCGTGTTAAGCATCAAAATCCCTGTGAAATCCCTGTTTATGTGTGCTCTTCATTTCACAGTGTACAAATGGGCACCTGATGTGCGCAGGCTGCTTCATTCACCTGCTTGCTGATGCGCGTCTAAAAGAGGAGCAGGCCACGTGTCCCAACTGCCGCTGTGAGATCAGTAAGAGTCTGTGTTGCAGGAACCTGGCGGTAGAGAAAGCCGTGAGTGAACTGCCCTCTGAGTGCAGCTACTGCCTCAAACAGTTCCCTCGCTCCAGCCTCGAGCGTCATCAAACAGAGGAGTGCCAGGACAGGTACTGTTGCACCAATTCACAAAACAGACCCCCACATGAGCAAGATCATGTACAACACATATGTAAAGCCATAGGGGTGAATTCAATAAATAGTTGTGCCATTTCGATTGTAATTCATGTATTTTCAGCATAACATGCCACCTTTAAATGTAAATTGGGATTGCTAGGGATCGTGCTATATTCCAAAAGACTTTTTATCCAAAAAGCCCGGTGCTACTCAAGTCAGCATAAAATGGAAATTGCAACCATCTTTTCTTCTCTATTGTGTGTAGTTTATCCAAGAGTCGATGAGTGAGATGAGAGAAAATGTAGTGAGGACTTGATTTTGTCCATCAGGAAATGATTGGACCATTGTCGTTTGCTAATTTCTGCGATGGTTTCTTGTGAGTGACAGGTTGCTGGAGGGGAAGGACTGAATCTCATCTGGCCATTGGACAACCGTTTTTGTCCAGCCCTCGTGCCGGTGTTTGTCACGAGAGAGGAGATGTCTTTGCGAGGCGGCAGGAATGTTAATGTTTTTGAAGAAAGATTATGGGGACACATGTTTTTTTTTTTTTTAAGAAAAAAAATTATATATCATTTTTAATAAATACTGCAATATTCCATAAAAATAGTAATGGTCAATTTTGATTTCATGGTTACTTTAAAGTTGTGCTCTTATAACTTGTGAAAAGCAGGCAACATTTAGTTTAAAAGTGGATTAATTTTGGTTAAAAGTTTGTGTCTGTTCTAGTGAAATGTAATGAAAATAAATGAATAAATGCCCTTTATAAGCATTGCAACCAAGCACAAATCAAAAGTAGACGTTAAGCATTGTAAAAAGATTTTTTAGAAGATGCTTTTTAAGCTTCGACATTACTAAGATGGTCATGGAGTCATTGAGACTTTGGTGCAAATACAGAATTGCAATAAGTGGTGGCGATTCGTGTTTAGTGAATTCCCCCATTCTCCTGTTTTTATAAAGTCGTCTTATAAAGTTTTCACAATACACATCGCTTAAAAAGTTGCTATAAAGAAAACCATGATGTTAATGTTTATAATATCTTGATATCTTCATGACTTGGGGCCCATTTACACCAAGGGCAATAACTATAACATTAAAGATAGTTTTAAAAATCATTCTAAATGTAAAGGAATATGGAAGTCCACACCACAACTATAACGATAACAAGCATAGAGGAAAGATATCGTTGGAATCTCTTTGACAGCTGGTAAACAATAAAAACATTGACAGCCAATCAGAATCCATCCTGCTTTAAAAAGCTCAAGCAGTGGCAAACAAAACAAATGTAGCACACTTAAAATAAACAGAACTTCAATGTGATATGGTGTGGGCACTACTATAGTAATCATTCTTGGTGTGAAAAAGGCCTTTATAGTCACATTTAGCAGATTAGAGCTCGGCAATAATAGTTTACATTTTGCGAAGATGTAAACAAGCATTTAGTATATAGTAAATATCGCTTTATGAGAGTGTACTGTATGGATGTGACTAGTTGGATATCATTTTCGCAAATGATTTACTTGATTCATTGATGACTCATTTTATACTATATCTCTAGAGATGATGGTTGGTCATTTCTTTCATTGTTTCCATTGGAAATAGAGTGACGCAGTGCAAGTACAAGCGGATTGGCTGCCCGTGGCAGGGGCCATTCCATGAGCTCAGCGCCCATGAGGCAGAGTGTTCCCACCCATCCAAAACCGGCATGGAGCTGATGGGCATCCTGGACGAGATGGACCAGAGCCATCGCAGAGAGCTACAGCTCTACAACAGCATCTTCAGCCTGCTGTGCTTTGAGAAGATTGGTTTTACAGGTACATAAAAAGTAAATAGTTCACCCAAATATGAAAATTTGCTGAAAATGCACTCAACCTCAGGCCATCCAAGATGTAGAGGAGTTTGTTTTTTCATCGGAACAGATTTGGAGAAATTCAGCATTACACCATTTGCTCACCAATAGATCCTCTGCAGTGAATGTGTGCCGTCAGAATGAGAGTTAAAACAGCTGATAAAACGACTCCAGTCTATCAAATAATGTCTTGTGAAGTGAAAAGCTGTGTGTTTGTAATACATTCATCATTAAGATGTTTTTAACTTCAAAACGTTGCTTTCAGCTAAAATACTCCATCACAATGAATGATAATGCTTTCTCCAATTAAAAAGCGGTCTCATCTGAATCAAGAGATTCAGAAATATGCACAGATCAAACATCATTTATAAGCTAAAACAGAACTGTCTGTGGATTTCGGAAGTGTTATTACAGACTTGTGGCCAGAAGCAACTGTTTAAATGTAAAGTCTTAATGATGGATTTATTACTTCACAATACGTTAATCGATTACTTGTCGATTATTGTGAATTTCTCCAAATCACTTCTGATGTAGAAACAAACTCATCTAAGTCTTGGACGGGCTGAGGGGGGAGTAAATTTTCATTTTTGGGGAGAACTAATCTTGTTTTGGTTCTAGAACTTGAATATTATACAACTACAGGAAAATTGCTTAATTTAAAGCACAGAAATCTAGGCTGAAGTTGATAACCTGTAATCTCATTCGTCTTTGCTCCAGAGGTGCAGTTCCGGCCGTACCGCACTGACGACTTCATCACGCGACTGTACTACGAGACACCACGCTTCACAGTGCTAAACCAGACCTGGGTGCTGAAGGGGCGGGTCAATGACTCGGAGCGCAACCCCAACCTGTCCTGCAAACGCACACTCTCCTTCCAGCTCATCCTGAAGAGCAAAGTGAACTCTGCACTGGAGTGCTCCTTCCTGCTCCTGAAGGGCCCGTACGATGATGTGAAAATCAAACCTGTCATCCAACACCACGTCTTCTCCAACGACGCCAACGAAACCGAGTACGCCCTGCTGCCCATTAACGACAGCGTGGAGTGCAACAAGCTGCTGGCTGCCAAAAACATCAACCTCCGCCTCTTCATCTTTCAGATCCAGAAATAGAGGCACGAGACGACGGGATGGAAGAAACGGATCAGACGGCGGTAGGAGGAGGGGATGGTGTGAACAAAGGAAAAGCGAAAGAGGGGAGATGAGCACCACTGAACCACAGATACCTCTACAGGAGCAAAAGAAGGATGAATACGGCCCATCAGTACTGCAGTAGATTGTTTGTTTGTGTGTGAGTGTATGTGTGTTGTTGCTGGTTAGCTTTCAGACCCTCTACAGACAAAAAAAAGTCAACAGTCTCACCCAACACCCTGCTGATGTCTCATTGGCAGAGCAGGACAGGCCTGAATGAACAACACCAAGAATCTGGGACTGTATTTGTGTGTTTTTTGGGCCTGTTTGTATGAATATCAGTCAGTAAAGACCAACAGTATGAGTGATATAAGGAACGAAGCTGAGCGAGTGCTAGAGATAGAGACAGGTGTAGTGCCACCAATCATTCAGGCAGCATTCAACTCTGCGTTTGTGTGTTTTCAGACCTTCCTCTCAAGGCTTACGCACACAGATGCTGCGGCGCAGCGGCCGCGACTGCTTTAAGTGTATTTTTGTATATGAAGGTGGCCATTTTCATTGAAGCACAGCAGTACACTTAAGCTGAACAAAATGACTGCTGAAATCACAACCCGGAAGATGCGATTTGCATGTTTTTAGTGTTCCAGTGTTCTCTTTGGAACGCCCAATTTTAGTTGCGTAGCATCATAGCCTTGTAATCTAACTTAAGTTTGGCCTTATTAACACATTTATTTAAGAACTTGTGAATCTTGCCTTTTTCCCCCTCCTGTGAATTGTTTTCCTCATTATCTGGCCCCATTTAACCCCCCTGGAACATTTCTCACATCATGATGTCAGGTTATAGATATTTATTGCTTTTATTTAACCTGCATTAATTAATGAAGTAACAGACATTTCTCACTCACTCAGCACTGCAAGACTGGAAAGATCTGATTGTGAGCCATTTTTACAGACCCCTTCCCTTCTTCCACCCTCATCCACATATAGGCACACAAATGACCTTTCATACCTTCATTAAAATTGCACAGGACTGGAAAGATCTGATTGTGAGCCATTTTTACAGACCCCTTCCCTTATTCCACCCTCATCCACATATAGGCACACAAATGACCTTTCATACCTTCATTAAAATTGCACAGACACACACACACACACACACAAAGCTGGGGGTTACAAAAGAGCCAGTGGGGTAATCGGATCTCAGTTCAGATGAACGCGGCTGTGACTTAGTTTTGACATACTTGAATTCATGAACGACAGAACAACAAACAGTTAAGCTGATCTGGCAGAGACTCACTTCTGATTAGAGGAGTTTATTTTAAACTGTTTCTGCATTTAAGAGCTTTTAATTCTCTCTCTGGCTGTATATGTGCCTTTCTATTAAAGCTCATTTAAACTTGTCACTGCTTTCTTTCTCGACTACTTGAGTTGACAAACTTGTTTTCCACTCGGAAACCTGTTATTTTTTGATAAATGCATGTTTAAAACAATAATTTACTGTATGTCAACATATCACGCGGGTAACAGACCACGTGTTTTGGTTTGTTTTTTAAAGGGACGATTTACATCCCAAAATAACGTTAGGCTATATCATCGTTTACTCGCCCTCGTGTTGTTCCACACCTTTTCAGTGGAACACAAAACGGAAAATTTGGCTGTCCGAATGAATCAAACTGAATCGCGAACCAATTCAGTTCTGAACAGTTGATAGAAAACACGACATGTTTATCGGAAGGTAATCTCCACGGGCAGACGAGGATTTATCAGTAAAATTTCACTGGACTCCTCTACGATTCTTCAAATTCACGTGATAAATATCGATGTCCGATTTGCGAATGAATCGTTCCGAGTCGGATCTGTTCAATATTGCAATTCATTCTGTCTGAATGATTCGTTCACGATTAATCTTAAATGAATGCTGTTCTCTTATAAGCAACGTTATAAGGAACGTATAAGGGCGTTATATTAAATTCTTATCAAATCTAGGCCTACATCTTAATCGTAATCAAACTCATTTAATCAAAATTACTCACCTAAAATTGAGTTACATTTCCCTGAATGTCTGAAAAGGCCAACGTCAATGTAAGATGTCTGCAACACCAATAAAACGCCCATGAGAACATCAGCTGACTCTATTATGAATGTAATTAAAACAATAAGCCATCAAACTGATTACCAATTAAATGGCCATATATTTAGGAATTGCCACTTAGATATGGTCCAGTCTGGTAAAATGTTACATCCTAATAAAATTCTGTAAAACAAACAAACAAACAAACCAAAATTTATTTTAAAATGGTTAATATACTGTTTTGATAACTGAGAACACTGAATCTAGTTTCATTCCCAATTTATGTAATATAGCCCTCTATAAACAAGATAAATTCAGTATTACCATTCAAATATAACATTTTATCCATATTAAGAAAAACAAGTAATAATATAAATAGTATAAATTACGCTCTAATAGCAATTTAAACATGACGCTATTGATGTACACGTAAAGTAAAATTCAAAACATGTTTTTGACAAAGTAGAAAAGGTTGAATCTGAAGGAAGCTATCATCAGATTCGAGTGCTACAGACTGTAGGGAACATTATTGTGTAGCTACAAATACTGAATGCATATGAATTCATATCAACACTATATGTGAACCCATAGTGTCTCTTAGTACCAGCACTGGTTCTGATTAACGCTACAGCCATTTTTGCAGCTACTTGACTGGAAGGAAACCCCCATCACATTCAGAGGAGGGGAAGAAGGGGCCAAAGAGCTGCAGTATACTTGAACTCCAGCAGGGGGCACCAAACACTGTGTCTGCCCACTTTGTCCTGACACCAGCATTGCAGGATAGGACTGTTGTTGTTGTTGTTGTTGTTGCTGCTGCTGTGATACCTTGTTACAAGAGAGAAAGCACATGTACATACATTTTATAATTCAGAACTACATTTCCCTTTTCTTTTTTGCATCAGTACCTGATAGGAGGATACGGATGGGTAAGGTCCCACAATGCTAGGCTGTGTTTGGGGCCGAATCTGACTTCCCATCATGCCTGGGCAGCCTTGTTGGTTTGACATAACAGGCGGGTATACTGTTAAAAAAATGTTGACAAGTATGTGTGAGATTTTATTAATTGTATAGTACTTAAGGACTCAAAATGACAGTCAGTAAAGCACTATCACATATGCTAAAGGTTATTTATTCATGTATTTTTATGCATGTACACACAATACTTGAACCGTCTATATCTATGTCTCATGAGAGCTGAAGTGAATAGCAGGAAAAGAGACCGGTTCACTGTGAGACCAGTGCCACCATCTCTTACAGTGTAACGGCCCCCTCCCCTACTATTGTGAGACTCAGGCGTAAAGAATGCAGAGAGGCTTCATGTGTACCTGTTTGTGCACTGTAACTGGCTGCTGCGTATTGTTGAGATGCACTGGGACATTGAACAGGGTAACTGTACACTGAAACCTAAGAGGGGAGACCAGAGTTGACTCATAATTAGACATACCGTGTGACATTACATCGTATCTCATTACTCATTTGTGATGAAGTACCTGGCTGTTCTGCTGACTCTGAGGAGGCGGGGCTGTGGGAGGAGCCAGTGTCATTCCAGGGGTTATGTAACTGTCTGAATGGTGAGAGGAAGCGTAACTGTGGTGGGGCGGAGCATAGCTGTGTGTGGGTGGAGCTCCTTGCATGTAGAATGAGGACATATCTGGAAGATCCCCTGATGAAGATTGGCGACTCAAGTTCATGTGACCAAACTTAGCAGTAATGTCTTCCCTCTAAGAATCAAAAATAGGCTTGTCATGTACGGTTATCAACACTACCGCTCAAGAGTTTGGGGTTGGTAAGATTTTAAAAATGTTATTAAAAGAAGTCTTTAATGCTCACCAAGGCTCCATTTATTTGATCAAAAATACAGTAAAACTGTAATATTGTGAAATATTATTACAATTTAAATAACTGCTTTATATTTTTATATATTTTAAAATGTAATTTATTCCTGTGATGGCAAAGCTGAATTTTCAGCAGTCATTACTCCAGTCTATGGTGTCACATTTTTTCAGGATTTTTGATGAATAGAAAGTTCAAAAGAGCATTGTTTATTCAAAATAGAAATCTTTCGCAACATTATGCATGTCTTCACTGTCACTTTTGATCAGTTTAATGCATCCTTGCAACTTTTGAATGGTAGTGTATATACTAAATATTTTATGCAAACAACAATATAAATGTAAATAATATTAGATAACTAACTAGATTATATTAATACTTATGCCTCACTTACAGTCTGTTCTATTGGGTGTTGCTGGGAGGTAGAAATGTTTAACTGCTGAGGTGGAAGGTATGTCACAGAGGAGTATTGAACCTAAACCAGAAATGAAAGGGCAGATTGTGAATTTTGTTGATTAAATAAAATTAATATTTTGGCATCTGTTCTACAGAAATAGAAACTGTTTGTTTCTGTAATACAGCCTCATTATAATGTGCAGAATGAGAAATTGATATTCATTTTGATATTTGATTAAAAAAAATTACATTTAACAGTGTTATTACATTTTTGTGTGTTGTTAAGAGTGAATTTAAAGTTAGCGTTAGATGAAAGCAAAGGTAAACGTAAAAATAAGGCAAATGAGCATGAATAAATATCCCATATTAACCAATAAATAAAATAATATAATAAAATTCAGATAAGCAATATGGTATTGATACACTGTGCACCACTAGTCTCTATTATGTTTCACTTACCTGTGGGACACCATGGCTTGCTACTGGCTGCTGCTGAGGTGGAGGGGGCGGGGCTTGTGACTGTACTGGGTTAAGCTGGTTACATGGCTTCTGACTTACTGGTGGGTTGTAAACAGCTGGAGTTCCATCAGGATTCAGAAATGGCTGCCCTAAAAGAGATATCCATAGTTGGATGAGAAAGATTATTTGGGGTGTATACAGTCAGTTTGAACCAATTAGTCATCTTCTACTCTGGGAATTGTGAGTGTATGTATGTGTACCTGTATGTGGATTCAATAAGATGCTCCCAGGCGGTATTGATGACTCAGCAGGCACAATAATGTAAGCAAGGCTGTTGTTGGGTGGAGCATATGATAGAGCTGACTCAGACACTGTTGGATCGATCAGACAGAAACAATGGCAGGTCAGAAACATTGTGAGGGATTTTGCACTACTTCAAGTTCACTAATCAAATAAGAATATTTGTGACACTGATCATGTGACTCAAATCATGCTGGAGAGCATCATCAGGTTTTACGAAAACCTGCAGAGTTCATGCAACACAAGTGCCACTGTCATTAAAGCAAAAGGGAGACAAATGAAAGACATTGTGTGATTTTTTTTACATAGAACATTTCAAATTTAACACAAAAATCTAATTATGTTTATTAGCATACAATTTAAAAGAGTATAAAACAAAAGCGTTTTTATTAGACTTCTAAGCCCCACTCTAAATAACTAGTGCCCAGAGTAACACCCAGATTGGCTTTGTGGCTTTTTTTATCTTTTTTTTCTGACATGGACATGAAGGCTGATGTTATTTTTGCACCTGGATTGCAGAGTTTAGAGCTGCTGTCTGAACGAGCGTGTGCAGATTTAGAGGTCCATGTCGGGCTGTCAGAATCTGTGCTGCTCCAAGGTCGAGGGTCTCTCATTAATTTGCATACACGTCAACTACTGTAACTCTCAATAATGTATTAGCAGACTGTTAGGTTAGGGTTAATAGAATAAATTGACATGCACTTGCAAAGATACAGTTAGCATATATTTACCATGTAGGGTCGAAAATGATCAAAGACTTTTGCTTTCCTGTCCCAAACCTATCTTCTGTAACAAAAGGGCCATTTGGCATTCCTGAAGACATAGAGGTGCCAAGATGTGTATACACTGGGGGTCTACTAATAGTCACACTTTTAGCACAGTGGGGAACGCTGTAATCTACTAATTGGTCAGTTTGAATGTCTTAGATTTGGTTTTTAGTCACATGGTCAAAGAAGGGATAAAAGAAGATTGTAACTGTTGCTCGGTCTCTTTTCTTTGCTGGTGCTCTCTTGGCGACCCCCCCCCCATTAAACCATTTCAAATATAAATTACGTGCTAACTATTCTTGAATCAACATTAACATTGAAGTGCTACCTACTGCAATACAATATAGTCACACAATAGCAACGATCTCTCACATATTTTGCTATTCTAACTGCACTTATTTCCTTTGTTGGTATAAGTAGCAGTGGGTGGTAATAGATAAGAATTGTACAGTTTTATACCATCGAGCTAATAATGTTTATTTAGTCTTCTGCCAGTCCTACAGCCTGAACCACTGCAGTGAAACCATGCAGTTGACATGTAGTTGAAAAGTTACGTATAGTTAGTAGAATGTCTATAGTGGACCATCAAAACAGTGCTATATTACATAATAAATTATATTAAAAATATTTAACTATGTAAAATAATATTATATTTATTTGAATATATAGTATATATAAATAATTTTATATTTCTTGTATAAATATTTAAATAAAAGATTTTTACCTGGTCTCAATATACACACTCTGCGAAAGACAAGTAGACTGAAAAATAAAAGAGCACAAAATCAGAGGCCAAGCTTTATTGTACTACTGTTTGTGCTTTTTAAGTAAGTGTTTTCTTACATCCTGTGAGAATATACGTTCTCTGACTCTCTGGTACTCCTCCTCTCTCTCCTCTATTGACTTGCTCCTCATTTGTTCTTTGAGAGATGGAACCCGCAGCTATAAAAAACAACAGCAGATGTGCAGACACAAATTAACCAGCCAGAAAGATCAGAGCTTTTAGAGGAGCTATTGTTCGCTCTTTTGTACCCTAGTGGTAATGTCAGGGGTCAGTGAAGTGTGTATTTGTCCATACCTGACTGTCTTCTTTCTCCTGACTGGTGTCTCTCTTCAGTATTGATCTTCTTTCCTCTGTTTTCTCCTCCTGAACATGTTCAGCAAACCGATGTTCTGGTCTGAAATACATCATGTTATACTCACATCCATTCCTTCATCAAATGTACATATGTAATCTCTGAAACAGACACATACATCCTGGAATTGCAGGTTTTGTTGATGATAACCGATTTTCCACTGTGATCCACATTGTGTTCCAGACCAAAATAAGCTGCAACCCTGTGGACCAGCATCCTGTGATATGAGGACATCTGAGGGAACTTTTTATAGGAACTAGAGCGAGAGAGAGAGAGAGAGATACATATTATATCACATTACAAACATGTCTATCTCTAAAGCATGCATGGAATGGTACCTGTTGTCTGTCATAAAGTCAGTCATGTCTTGCTCGAGTTTTAGAAGCATCAGTCTGTCCCTGCAATCAAAAAAAACAAACTGATTCAGCACAAATGGAAGGAGGAGAATGAAGGGATATTTTCAAACCTACCTGGGACTGCTTTTCAAAGTAGTGATTAAAAACAACTCCAGATCAATGCCTGTGGAGTCGGTGTACTCCAGACTGGGCTCTAAAAGATACAAGCATGCACAGAATTGCATTTTTCATACGCAAGTTAAAATTAGGACTTTGAATCAAATAAATAAAAATAAATGAATCACCATTTTCTGCAATTAATTGCACATATCTGCAAATACTATTAAAAGTAATAAATATTCACTACCGTTCAAAGGTCTGGGGTCACTGAATTGTTTTATTTTGAAAGAAATAAACTTTTATTCAGTGGGGATGCATTAAATTTATCATAAGTGACCGTAAAGACATTCAGAATGTTTCAGAAGACTTTTTTAACACAACATAATTAGAAATGCTTCTTGAGCAATAAATCAGCACATTAGAATGATTTCTGAAGGATCATGTGACCCTGAAGCCTGAAGTAACACATTACATTTTAAAATATATTGTAATAGAAAACAGTTCTCTTAAATTGCAAACATATTTCACAATATTACTGTTTTTACTTTGACCAAATAAACAGCACTGGTGAGCATAAGAAACTTTTTTCAAAAGCATTAAAAATCTTACCAACATTAAACTTTTGAACAGTTGTGTATATATCATCAAATTAATTTAGAATCAATACAAAGGAAGTATATTTTAAATTAAAATATCTGCTCATTTCGAAGCTTAGTTTAAAAAAAAATATATATATTTTTTATTATACTTATTTTTTTACACTAAACATCCCACATTAATTTCAGAAATTGATGCCATATTTGTCATCATAGCCCTAGTTAAAATGTGTGTATTTCATGTGCACATATTTTGTGCAAATATGACACAAATACCTACATGCAATGCAAATTATACCTTTAGATAAACTTGTTTTTTTCGACGTGATGTTTGTTTCCTCTTCCTCCTCATTGCACTCAGGACTGTCACCATGGTTACTAGATACAGTTGTCTTGCTCTCTTTTTCCTAGGACAAGAGGGAACAGAACTCCTTCACAAACTCTATCAGGCATTCACTTCAAGCATGTAATAGATGTAACTACATATTCAGGATTTGGGGACCAAGTATAATGATTGAAGTACAGTATATACCATTGGAAACCTCTTATCGTTTAAACACTAACCAAAACAGTGCTTACAGTTTTGATTCACCAACATATGTCCTATCCATCAGGTCTACTAGACTTTTGAAATGAACTTTAAAGGGGTCATATGATGTGATTTCAATTCAAACTTTATGCACCACAAGCTCTTGGTGCATAAAGAAGATCTGTAAAGTTGCAAAGACTAAAGTCTCAAATCCAAAGAGATATTCTTTATAAAGGTTAAGAGTCAACCACGCCTACCTAAAACGGCTCGTTCTAACAAGCTCCCACATGTCTCCGTCACGATGTGGGAAGATTTGCATAACGCCACCCAAATGTTCACGCAAAGAAAGAAGGCGTAACTTTTATTCTTGCTGTAGAATTGTTGCTGCCGCCATGTCGTGAAGGCACTGTGTTTCGTTATGAAAGCGAAACTACTTTGTTTGGCCTTCCAAAAGAGAACGATATCCGCTTCGTCATGCCTAGAGCTGATCCGTGCTGGTCGCTGAGGAAATACATCAACTTCTCGCTGTGGATCGCCAGATCGGCTTTCACCATGGACGAAGTGGAGTCCAGCCCGGGGTCGTCACATGTGGTTGCCGCAAGCCCGCCGGCCGCCGCTCACTCTAGCCGCCGGTCTCCGCACACTCAAGGCCGCCATTTCTCTGTGTGAGGTTTTCACTCAGAAAAAAAATCCTTTTCAGATTTCTAAACATTTATTTATTCTGAGCACTATGCAAGGTTTACTTAAATACTCAGCTGATAGTCAGTGTCAAAAAAGCTCAAATCAGCCATTAAACCCATTAAGAATCATCCAACCAAGTATCAATAATGAGATATCTTTATTTTTTATTCATTCATGAACTGACCTGCCCGTGCTCAAGGTAAAATTAAATTAACACACAACACAGCTGCATAATTGTGTAGTTAAGAGAGCAAAATAAAGGCTTATCAATGTTTAAAACGGAGGAGAAAACTACTCCCATTTGTTTTAATGTTGATCTAAAATGCAGTGTGAAATGATATTTTGGTGCAAATTCATCTGTCATTTGGAAGAAAACTAGACAAATTAGACAGATGCCAAAAAGATTGTTTGACATGACACAAACAAAACTACACAAGGTAAATAGAAATATTCACTTTCAATGAGGACAGACATGGTTTGTGCCAAACACATGTTGTGAGGTCAATTATTAGCTGAAACCATCAAAATTCAATTAATAATTAAAAATTAAATGCTCAAAATATATAAACCAAGAAACTTTAAAAAAGCCAGGTCTCTCCAGCAATATACAGTATGCTGATTTGGATAAAAATACCAATGTCATTTTGCAAACATCGATTTGTATGCATGCATTATGTGCAACTTCTTTCATAGCAGGGGCAGGTGCTGTACTGTAAAATACATTCCCAGAATGACAGCTCCCTGAATGGAAAGCACACACACGCGAGCTCTTTTTGGATAGAGTGCATCCTTCATTCTTATGTCATCACTCTCATCATGTTTGAACTTGTCTTCATGTCTGACCACTGAGTCACTGACTCACTTTCACCAGCGTTAATCCATCCGCCTCCACACACGCAGACACCACAGTCGCTCTTGGCATCTTCATCAAGGTCTTCTCTGGGTTATCAAACAGGTGGCCTCAAACTTGGATGCTAAATAATTGTGTGATAGAGATGCCATCTAACATGCATCTAACATCTGATGGGCAGCAGCACATTGGTCTGGGTTTTTGACCACTGATCAATCCTTATGTAAATTTACTATGGTAACCATGGTTTCTGCATAAATATAATTTTACATTTACATTTAGTCATTTAGCAGACGCTTTTATCCAAAGCGACTTACAATTGGGGGATACATAAAGCGATTCTTCTTTAAGAGGCAAACAGACACAAGAAGTGGTTGTAATACCAAGTTCTTAGACATTGTTCAAATAAGTACAAGCTAGGAAGAGAAGGAATAAATAAAGAGAGAGATTTTTTTTAATGATGAAGTCAAGTAGCTTCGAAAGAGATGAGTTTTCAGCTGTCGCTTGAAAATTGTCAGGGATTCAGCATTCCATAATACTCAAATACAGGTTCTTTACTGGCATTTCATTCCTTATGTAAATTTACTATGGTAACCATGGTTTCTGCATAAATATAATTTTACATTTACATTTAGTCGTTTAGCAGACGCTTTTATCCAAAGCGACTTACAATTGGGGGATACATAAAGCGATTCTTCTTTAAGAGGCAAACAGACACAAGAAGTGGTTGTAATACCAAGTTCTTAGACATTGTTCAAATAAGTACAAGCTAGGAAGAGAAGGAATAAATAAAGAAAGAGATTTTTTTAATGATGAAGTCAAGTAGCTTCGAAAGAGATGAGTTTTCAGCTGTCGCTTGAAAATTGTCAGGGATTCAGCATTCCATAATACTCAAATACAGGTTCTTTACTGGCATTTCATCACGAAGAACAACCATGGAACCTTTCCATTGCACAACATGGTCTTTATAGTGGTTCTTTAGATTATTCAAATGTTCTTCACACTAAGAATTTGTTTTCTTCTTTTAAGACCTGTTTACTGAAAGTTTCACAGGTTCTTCTATGACATCACTTGTGAATACGCCTTTCTGAAACTTTTATTTTTAACAGTGTAGATAGTCACTAAAGTAAAATCATTCTAAATAAATATTTAATATCTATATTTTTTTATTATTCTGCTATTATGCTTTGATGTATATTATTTTATGACATATAATCATAAAATTACCCAAAAATATAGTAAAATATCAACTTAATAATAATATTATTAATAATAACGTATCGTTCGGAGCAATAGAAAACCCGGGGTGGATCTTCAGCGGAGTAATAACAGAACGCTACGAGCAGGGAAGGAAAATCGGTCCGCTCCATTCATATACAACACTCCAGTTCGCAGTTGAATCTGTTCTTTGCTGGGCGACACTCAGAACGTGATGCTTTGGCTTCATGTGGAAATATACGATCTTACTGGCCATTTTATATCAGAAACGGAAGTTATTTGATTTTAACTTCAGTTACTCGTTAACAGAACTGCTGTTTAAAACAACAGTAACGAGAATGTATTTCTTAATTGAACTGTCCTTCTTCAAACAATGCACTAAACTTAGATTTTTATAACAGTAGTCGCTAATATTAAGAAAACGCGGTTTATTCTAGTAACAATAGGTGGATTTAATATAGCATTTAGCAGACGTTATGGTTACCATAGTAATTCTTGTGAAGGCAGTGCGTAAATTAAAGCTAAGCTTTGTGCAATAGTTTCGCGCACTGTGCGCGGCGCATACACACAGACGCGCGCAATGATCTGTGTAGACTACAGAGATTCAATGTGTCCGTCTGCCAGGATGAAGGTGTAGCAGCCGAGATGGGGTTCGGTTTCGACCGCTACGTCGCATTCCGGGCACAGTCTGGCACGGGTTATATGTGGAGCGGCTGTTTGGGGATCTCAGACTGCTATCACTGACGCACACAGAGACGACGTAGGAGCAGCAGCTGTGCTTTCTAAAAACGAACCCAGATCTCGCTCTACCATTGCTCTTTTGTTAAACGACCCTGAGCCTTATATAACACTATATAGCAACAGAATCATTCCTCTTAGAAATAGTGTGAAAATCAAGCTTTCATAAGGTTAGAGTTTGTTTTTGTCAACACAAAACACCAGGAAATGACTGTCAGTACCAAAATTAACACTTGACAACACGCCTCACTATAAAGCACAAATATTACGGCTTCTAATTAAGAGCAAAAACGTGAGAGACAACCAACTTTACTTACCTTTATGTATGAACAAACAACTGAAATGGGTAGAAATGTGCGCTCGTGCCTCCGGTGAGTTTGTCAAACATCTTGTGTTTCTGACAGCAAAGCGCGTGCAGACTCACGCCACCCGCTTTCAACTCACTCAGTTAAATACGCGCGCGCACTCGTGCGCTCAGCCGCTTCCTGGCACTCACGCTGCGCGCTCACAAATACACACAAGCACCAAGCAAGGCTTTAAGCTATAAGTTCTACACACAACACATCCAACTCCAACATTAGTTAGATTAGAGGAAATTAACAACAACAATATAAAAATAGCACGTCTGATACATTGGCACAATTCAAACTGATTCACATAGACTGTCTTAACTTAAAGAATGCAACAATTAGGCTATTACAGTTACTATCAGAACTGTAAAATCATAATAGATTAATATGGCGTCTCAACACAGTGTAAGGAGTTTTAAAACATTCATTAATTTATGAATATTGTAATATATTTTGCATGAAAATGATCACAGTTTTAAAGGTATTTATTTATTCAATGTAGAAAATATATCCATGTTTCAGCATCAAGGATACTAAGCTGTTTAACGTTCTCTTCTACAGATAGCCTACTAACATATTGTGGATTTGTGCAAAAGCACACAAAGAAAACCCACCAAATACTGCAACGAGCACCTGTTAGATGAAAAGATTATGCGATACTCACAATGAGACACACACATACACATATGGGTGCATATACCGCAACTTCACAGCTGCACGTACCCGGTGCCTCTCTTTCTGCCATATGGCTTCACCGTTTCAGAGAATCAGAGAGATGTTCTTCTATAAAGAAGGCTTATAGAAAGAGAGGGTGAAACAGACTTACCTGATGCTGTCTCCTTAATTAAATGAATACAATTATCTGTGTACAACTCTGGCCAAAAATAACGGAACATTATGTTTTTTGAAGAGTGTTGAACTTGTAATCTCAGCCCAAAGGCCCAGTCTGTCGCTCTCAAACACACACACACACACAGGACAATTTGTCCTTATGCCTATGAGAAATCTTAATGCAATATAATATCCCCTCAGTGACCAGTTTGTTGTGTTTTGGCAGTGTGTTCATTTTGTGTGAGATGGTGGGCAGAGCAGCTGTCATTGTGCAGGTTAACAGGACTGAGAGAGATGGTAAGAGACGGTGGGCAGGACTGAAGAGATTGAAAGATTCTATAGAAACATCTATGTTTTTGTATTTGTCTTATAAGAGCCCATTTTTTTATCAACTATTATTAGCCTTCCAGTATTCAGTAAATTATTCAATCATTATTGAATTTACTTAAAGGAATAGTTCACCAAAATTCTGTCATCATTTACTCACCCTCAAGTTGTTCCAAACCTGTATGAATTTTTTTATTCCTGTTGAACACAAAAGAGATATTCTGAACAATGTTTGTAACCAAACAGTTGACGGTACCCACTGACTTCTATAGTATGGAAAAATACTGTGGAAATCAGTGGCTACCCTCAACTGTTTGGTTACCAACATTTTCAGAATATCTTCTTTTGTGTTCAGCAGACTATCTCTAATGTGAGAGAGCCAAAGAAACATTAAGCCAAACTTTAACATCTTTCACTGTAAAAAATTATTGTGATTTTAATGGTAAAAGGCTGTAAAAATGCTACAGTAAAAACCTATTAATTGGTTAACAGTAAGTTCCCCTACTATATACGGTGAGAAACTGTATTGGACATTTCATGTAATTTTACAGTAAAATACAGTTTTTGGGAGTGAAAAAGAATGTATAATTTAGAGTGAAAAACGGTAAATTGACATTCCCAGAATTTCACATTTGATGTTTTTTCGTTGAAATAACGGTTTC